CCTGCTTAATGACTACATCGTACGAATTGCCGTTTTATTGTGCCACTCTTAAAGAGCGCACAAATACTATCGATATTGAAAAAACGAAGTTGTTCGGGGTGAAACCACTGTACACTGAATGGCATTTTCACTAGAGCAGTCAATTAGCTTGAATGTTCGTGTCAGGAGGAATTGAAAAGTTTCACTTATTTTTTTGAGAGCACATTATACTATTTGTGATGAAAATTTTTTTACTTAATATACTGAATACTACATAAAAACTTCTAGAATCACTCTTGATTTTATGACTTATGATGAACCCGTAATGTTTATTTTTTATAGATTGCACACTGGTAAATCGCACAGGTGGATTCCTCGCCTGTGAGGAAGCGAGGGAGAAGAATAGGGTTACAGAAGTGAAGGAAATAGAGAAGCTGAAGGAAGCGATAGTAAAAAAAGAAGGAATAATAAAAGATATGGCCACCAAGGCAGAAAGCAGCGAGAAACAGAGGAAGCAGGCGGTTAAGGATATCGAAAAGCAAATGGAAAAAATGGAAAAAATGCAGAGGGAGACAAGAGAGGAATTGGGGAAACTAATGGAGAGGGTAGAGGGGATAAAATGGACGGCCCTCGAAGGTAGTGTAGATACATTAGTAGAAAAGTTGCAACGGATTTGCAACGATAACTATTCGAGCACGAACGTCGATCATCTGCATGCCCGTCGTTCTGAAGGCGTTTCATAGGCTCGCGGCAGGAATACGGTATTGTGGCGAGTAACTCGCCGCCAATATGATGTGTTTGGATGCCTCCCATCCATCAAAATAGAAATCGTGGACTCTTACAAATACCTCGGGGTACTCTTATCGCGGAACACGAAATTCCAGGGGCACATCGCGAGAACAACGTCCAAGGCGAACGCCGCTTACGGCGTTACGAAATCGATGGCTCATAAGGAATGGGGCGTAAAAACGAAACACCTTAAAACTATCTACAAAGGTGTCTTCGTCCCAGGGATTAAGCATGGCGCGGTCATTTGGCACGCGGAAACCAAATTCGTTAAAGGCAAGGCCAAATTAAGATCGGCCCAGCGGAAGGCACTATTAACAACTATGAAGGCCTACAACACCGTCTCCACAGATGCGCTTATCGCAACCGCAGGTGTTCTTCCTTTCGAAAAGGAAATAGAAATCGCCGGAAAAATGGCCGAAGACAGGATCGCCCTCTGAAACAGCGAGGAGGTACTCGCCGAGGAGCACATCGCCCAACAACAACGCGCACTCAAAAAGCAACTCGTGGACACTGCCTGGGAAGGGTGGCAACACGAACGGGTCTACTCCGACACGGCACGCCACACTAGGTTCCTGATTCCGGATGTCAGAGAGTGGAGTAGGAGAAAAATTAATCCTACCCACTGGATGTTACAAATGCTCACGGGACACGGGCAGTTCAACGCGCACTTAGAGGCCAGGGGCCTCCCACAAATAGGACACGGACATTGCAGCTGCGGAACTTCCCCCAGCCTCCAAACGAGCACACATATCTTCGAACGTTGCCCTCACTACAATCAGCAGGTCGATTGTTGAATCGTTATCGAGTGATCTCGATCGATAAATCCCTATCTTCACAATGCAATATATCGATCAAGGTCATTCGATAACGATTCAACAATCGACCCGCAGGAGAGGGAAACGCTTCTCCGAAAGCTTAACCCGCGTCCGGCGAATTTCCGCGTAAGCGAAGTTGACTTCTTCGACAAGCATGTCTTCACAGCGGTCAGCATCTTCGCGAAAGCGGTGCTCCTCAAGAAACAAATAATCGACAGACAAATCCAATTCAATCATAATCGCTAATCAACGTGCTCATATCTATGTGACAGGTCATCAGCTATGGACATCTTGGAGCTCTTCGCCAGTAGCCACGGAAGGGACCTCACATACATGATTAGGGATGAACTCCCAGATAGCAAAGGTATCTTTAAGCCTAACGGCAAATTTCTACATGTAACCCAGGGCATAGAAAACGCCCCCCCCCCCCGGCAGAGTAATCTGCATTAACGGTGGGACTAATAACACCCACACGGAACCCCAAACCGAACCGATCAACGTGAAGAAGACCCTTCAGGACTTCGACTTAGATAAGGTTAAACGAGTGGCCCAAAGGAATCCCGTGATTCTAGTTGTAGTCCTAAAGCGTGCAGACTAACCCCACAAAAACCCCGACATAGCCCTCATTAACCTCAAGATCCTTAAGATTATCCGGCACAACAAAGGCATCTACCCCATTCTCACCAAGCATTTTAGCCGGAAACTGTTCACTTCAGAAGCTAGGTGGGTATTCAATTTACTTTTATGGTGGACTTTTCGGTAATTACGAAATGATAAAGGTTTTTGTCTCTAAAGAACAATTTGCTGCAGAAAATGGTAGCGACAATGGGCACGAATACTGGTGCGTTTCATCGCCGTTTATAAGTAATCTTGTTATTTAATTTTGTTCCAGACAATGTCTCGCATGCTGGGACCCAAGATTCTCCTCCTGTACGTAGGAGTCTCTTCTCCTCAGCAACAACTCAGGCAGATGTCTCAATACAAGAACCACAACCTTCACAATCGCAGCCACTGACATCAACAGCACAGCCAGAACCTCAAGTGGCAGATATTACGAAAGGTATGTCAGATATGTAATTAATGTACTTATCATATAGGTTATATTCTTTCGTTAGATATTAAAATTATCGTTTAATATTATATTTTAGTGCTGGTTGATTTAATTTCACTGTAGTGAACAAAAGCATTATTCAATGAAATTATTTTGTTGCAGATGGAGATGCAGGAGGGAAACGAAAGAGGTCCGAAACTGTTCACTTCAGAAGGTCTGCACTTGAATATGAAAGGGAAAGTAGAGTTAGTTAAGCTCATCATGGAGCAATATTTCACGAATCCATACATCCAAACTCGCCGCGAGTTTGGATAGGAGATGATTTTGCACCAAATACCGCGAGGGAATAAGAATGAAAATAAATGCAAATTACAAGGTATCTGTAATGACTGTATCACTTGAATCACAGGAGATGATTTTGCACCAAATACCGCGAGGAAATAAGAATGAAAATAAATGCAAATTACAAGGTATTTGTAATGACTGTATCACTTGAATCACTTCCTTACGAGTGCTTCTTTCTTCCTCGGTAATTTTAACTCGCTTTTTTTATACATTAGTTTTTTAATAGCTGCATTGCCAGCCAGAGCTTTGTTTTTGCATTTCATAAGAAGACACGTGAAACTCTCACGTCGGCAGGCGGAGATCATATCCTCACAAAGAGTGACCGGCTCCGATCCCTTTAGGAAATGTTAATTTTATTCCGATTTACGGAGGCTGCGTAGCATGAGTTAAACATTTCAGGGAGTGCTGGTGGTAAACGCATTTACAATTGTGACTAAACGTATTTTAGTCATGGTCCCAAAAAACTCCAGCAATTGTTCAAAAAGGAGAGAAAGAAGTTCTAGAAATGTAGCTGGATCAGAAAAGAGAACACAACGGTTTTGGCATGCGGCTGCGCAGATGGTTCCAAGTTACCACCGCTAATTATTTTTTCTGCTACCCACGTTTGGAGTCGTTGGACTGCAAATAAAGGTTAAGATTAACCCGGTGAAGCTTGCACAGCTGCAAAAAGAGGTTGGATGGAAGGAACATTGTTTTGTCATTGGTTTGAGGAAGTTTTTCGACACAAGTACCCTCTAAAACTGAGAAAGTGATCTACTTCTTTGGAATTCTAAAGCAATATGTGCAACCTCTAGATATTTTTGTTTATAAACCAATTAACCCATTCTCTCAGTGATTAATTTTGCATGCCTGCGAACGGATTTACTATTTAATTTCACTGTAAAAAGCTGTATTTGGTTTCATCTTCGTTTTCTGCTTTTCCCGATAAAAAGGAGCAAGTTTTTCCTCCCCGTCATGCATTGGATTATCACCGATACGATCCAGGGTCTATCCGGACGACTGGCGCCAAATTATAAGGAAGTCGCGTATTTTCAACACAAAAATTTTGCCGCTTCAACACAAAAACTTGGTCGATTTGACACAGGAAAATATGACACGCAAAAAATTAACCGACTGCTCGTGTTATTTCTTGTTTTACTTCCCATATTGACACACAATTTTGATTACACTGATCTACACACCCCTGTTTTCCTCCCGTCACGCATTCGATTATCACCGATGCGATCTAGGGGGTCTATCCTGATGGATGGTACCAAATTTTAACGAGGTCGCAGATTTCCCACACAAAAATTTGGCCACTTCAACTTAAAGATTTAGTCGATTTGACACAGGGAAAAATTACAAGAAAAACATTAACCAACAGCTTGTGTTACTTCGTGTTTTACTTCCCATATTAACACTCAATTTTGATCACACTGATCTACGCACTCTTGTTTTCCTCCCCGTCACGCATTGGATTATCACCGGCGCGATCCAGGCAGGGTGGCAAAATTTCATGAAAAATAATATCTTGAAATTTCACGTGAGATATTTCATGAAATTTCAGATAATGAAAGATGCTGAAAGATGCCGGTTCCTTTTCGTGTTTCACGAAATGTAAAAATTGTGACTTTCTTACATTTTAGTGTGTTTGAGTGCGAGTTGCACACTCTGGCCCCTGAAAAATATGAAATATTTCACAGCCTCGTGGATTTCATGAAATATTTCACTGAGATTTCCAATCATTCATTTATTTCTTACGTTTCATGCCACCCTGAATCCAGGGCCTATCCTGACGGCTGGTACCAAATTTTAACGATAGGTCGCAGATTTTTCACACAAAAATTCGCCTGCTTCAACTTTGAGAGTTAGTCGATTTAACACAGGGAAAAATTACAAGCAATACATTAACCAACTGCTTGTGTTACTTCGTGTTTTACTTCCCATATTAACACACAATTTTGATTTCTTTTTCTTACTGTGTATTTGCTGAGTGAGGATAAGAAAAAAAAGTAGTGAGGGGGTATGTTATCTGGACTTACATTGAGGATGAGACCATCCTGGGGGAAAAACTGCTTCTGGGGCTCTTCATTAGGTGTGTATCGGTAGAACTCATTTTCGTCCTTGTACCACTTGAGTGAATAGAGCTTCCCTCCGCCGAGGTTGAACTCGCAGACCAGCGTCGCCGTCCGGTGGGCGTCCGTATGTCGCGGCACCTCCAACCGCGTTACTCGCAAGCTCATCACGAAACCTAACATAAACATAAGAAAAGAATATAAGTTACCGCTTATTCCAAGACTTAAAAGGTGAATCTTCCACGCCCTGTAGTGGTAAAACATTCTTCCGCGCAGAGGGCATACCACCACCGCTATTATGATACTCGAGATTGCGAGATATGCCTTTATACGACTTGGGAGTCCTTCAGTTAGATCGGAAATTAAAGAAAGCTCCGTCAAAAAAGGAGCGTCATAAGTTGAAGCTAAAATTGCCACCAAAAGAGACAGGAGGTGTCATTTCCGAGACTGCAAAAATTGATCCAGAGGTAATATACGAAATAATCGATGATTTAGGTGGCAGGTTTTTATAAAATATTATTTTATCAAACGCTGAAGATTCACCTTTACATTCTGAGAGAAAACGAACACGACAACAAAATTAACCATAATTCTAGGTGGCGGTAGCCACCCCGGCTCCCCGGCCCAATCCTAAAAAACTCCCCCTAAAAGTTGACGACCAAGAAAAAAAAAAAGACGGGTGGCTGCTGCCTAACTAGTTATACACGAAACAACTCGATCGGGCTTTTCTGCATACCCAGTTACCAAAGAAAACAGAAACAACCTGATGGTCGATATAAAGAATCCTTTGAGAAACCGTCTGCGTTTCTCGTATTCTGGTTCCGTTGTGCAATTAGGCGTTTACCGAATGTTGGCTATGCTTTGATACCGAATCAAAAAACATTAATCTGCGTGAGTTAAATCGCACACTAAACAATACCGTGAGAGTCTCGGCGGTATGGGTGTATGAGATCCGTAATTGTGGCGCTTTAGCTCAGTTTTGCACATTGTTTTCACATTGAAAAACACAAGCTGGAGAAGGAAAACTGCTCCATTGAGAAGTGCCATAATCGCGCTAGTGCGCGCTTTGATCCGAGCGGATTCAATTCTACTTTTTGTGGGCGGGTGCCAATAAAAAATACACTTGATTCAATTGGATTTTAGCTTGAATCGAGAGCCAAGCCTCTTAATTTAAGCGAATTTCCAAAAAAAACCACGCCTTTATTACGTTGAATTTCTTTATTAAAATTTCCTTTGGATACAACAAAAAATCCAACTTAATAAAAGGGTATTCTCTCTGTCAAATTTTGTGAGAATCTGGATTCGGTAACCAAGAGGCTTCTTTCTTTAGTGTGTCCTATGTGAAACTTTGACTTTGAAGAGGAAACATAGATCAGACCGCTGAAGGTGATTTGATGGACGCCATATTTTGTGCTAGAACAGCATACGATATATCTCATCAATTGGTTCCATTTTTACAGCTACTCGTCATTTTTCTCCAATTTTGAGATCGCAATTCTGTTGTCAGGAGACTAAAGCACTCTCTTACCAATTTTAACAAAGAAATTCAACGTAATAAAGGCGTGGTTTTTTCAGAAAGAAAACATAGCATTCGATACTAATATACTGATATAAACTGCACTCGAATGCGATACTTTCTCTCTAAAAAAACCACGCCTTTATTACGTTGAATTTCTTTATTAAAATTGGTAAGTGAGTGCTCTAGTCTCCTGACAACAGAATTACGATCCCAAATTTGGAGAAAAATGACGAGTAGCTGAAAGAATGGAACCAATTGATGCGATATATCGCACGTCGTTCTGACACAAAATATGGCGTCCACCGAATCACCTAAGTTCCTACCTTATCTAGTGGTCCATTAGCATTTTTTCCGGGAGATCTGCCATCGAGGCGGGGCGCAAATACCCTCGTGGCGAAGAAGGGGTCGGAGAGGGGGGGGGGCGCACGTTAAACGTGCCCCGAGATTATTCCGAGTGCGGAGATTGGCCGAGTCCCGTCGGCATTCGAAACTCGTTCATTAAATCGGATTCTGGGCGAGGAGCCGCGCCCGTTGAATATGATTCTTTATCGATTAAGTGATTACGGGCCGCGTCCGACGTCCACTCCCGACTCTTGCCGCTCGGACACGCTCCGCTAGAACGCGTGTAAAACAATCGATACCTATCGAACTCACCTGGAATCGATCATTTCTAACGGCTTCGTACGGAGACGATTCGGTGTTACCGGCCGATCTGCGAGAATCGCCCGAGCTCACACTTGAGTTTTCTTGACCCTCGACGTCCTAACGAGTTCACCCGCCGAATGTTTGATCATTAACTACCGACCCCCCTCCCGCTCCCCTCGCTTGTTTTTCCGCCCCGCCGCCGAAAAACGAGAGGGATCGGATGTGGAGTAAGCTTGGTTCAGAGGCGTGGGAGGCAAGGCTGCCGAGCTAAGTGAAGAACGTCCTATATAAGCCGTCAGAAGTTTCCGAAATTCTTTAGGTATATGCGTATTATGACTGTGTGAAACAAATCATCCTGTTTTCCAGGTAATTTAGAACGCAATTGATTCTAAAATATCCGAAAACGTCGAGGAAGAATAATGATGGCTTAGAAACAATATCATGCACCTAAAAATTGGCTATTTTTCAGGCAGTCGAGATAACTAGACGATTCTTTTCATTTTGAGGTTAGGTTTGCAATGTTTTTCATAAACAGAGTTATTCAAAAGTCACGCACATGGTCATGAAGGGGGTGGCCATTTATAATTTTTGAGTTCCCCCCTCCGCCCCCCAAGGGGATCAAAAACTGTAAAGTACCTAAAAGAGGTCCCCCTCGATATGCGGGAAAACGTCTTAAACCGCAAATCGATATCATAATTAGAACTAAAGTTATGGCCAGTGGTGCGTGACTTTTGAATAACCTTGTATTACAGCATTTACAGCGCCATTAAAGCTCTGTCATGTGGAATTTGAAAAAAACTAAAAATATTTTCCGTATTTTACAAGGTAGAATGACACTAACTCATTTTCGCCAAAATTGTCGGTTGGGCGGTCATGTTCATAGCCCGCACAGATCCGTACCTATGAAAAGCCGCGATTTGACATGCATATTTCCCTTTATTTCTGAAATTTTCAAAAAATATTTCACGCGAGACTTCACGACTATTTTCGTCATGAGATTTTAGCACCCTGACAGCGCGATGCTCAGAGAGTAGGATAAGCTCGGTCAAGAATCATCGTCATGATGGTTAAAACGCAAGACATAAAAACGCAGACTCCCCCGTAGCTTTAAGCATAAACCACATATAAACGTGGTTTTTCCATTGGATTTCAGAGCTTTTTGCCGAACACAGAAGTGTGGGGGGAGAGACGGTCGTGCTGGTGGATCGGCGTCATAAACAGAGCTAAGAAGGGAGTCGCTTGCTGGCGCAGCGGGGTAGTTAAGGAGTGTAAAATATTTTGCGTCAACCGAGAGGGAAGTCTATGAAAACAGTACCCTAATTTCTCAATCCCCACCACTGAAAACTTCTCAACAACACTGCTCCGCCCGATAGTCTGGGAGGTATTCTGAATTTCCAGGAAAACAATCCACACGTTTTTCCCTCAAGGCTGACTGACATGTTACCCATGAGAGTAGAGTGCCTTTGCGGGGAGAGTATAGGGGAGGATCTCATTCTGATTGGTTTATTCGTTAGGGCCTCATGAACCTCTTTGGATTTGAATAAAATGGCAGACGTTCCTTGAAGATTAATCATAAGTGTAGATAATGAGGCTTTACTTGCTTGCACTACCGTTAAATGGACTACATTTTGCAATTAGGAACTATAAATTCCGGCCCGGTTTAAGTACAACGTAAGTGCCATTAGTTTCCCTGTGCTCATAAGTGTTTTTTCAGATGAGCCAGAATTTATAGCTCCAAATTGCAAAATGCAGTCCAAATGTATCTCAATCACATGAGAAGGTGTAGATTTATTAAGGTTTGAAACCTATTTTAGTGCATGACACGAAGTAATATCTTTTTGAGCGGAACCTCCAGCGTAGCGCTCCAGACGAAGAGACACTGTGTGTGTGTAGGTGGTAACGGTTAGAATTTTAGCTTATGAAACTTTCCCGAGGAAAAATTGAATAATAGTTCCTTACGCAAATAGGTCAGATGCAGATAATTCTAATGCAAAAAATCGGTTGATTTTAAAGGGAGAAGATTCAAAAACCACGAAGAACACGGCGAAATGTTTTTTTTTTTTTTTTAAATTGTTCTTAGTTTTATGTTTTTTACGTTTTTAGCAAGCGGTGGAGAATTGGTCAGTTTACNGGGGGGGGGGGGGTGTTAAACTTCTTCACTGAAACTTCACTAGAAATGGAACAAATCAAAAGCTTCATAGAAAGTGAGATCACTACGCAGAACTGGTCCACCTCTGACATGCAGTAATCTATGTAGTAATGCTCTTGTAACCATTAATCTTCTGTACCTGGAACTTGTACAACTTTCAGTATAATGGATTGGATACTAGTTACATTCACGAGAGACAAGTCAGAAGATGTTATCCCTGAACTTTGACTAACGAAGAACGAAGAGCTGGCCCACTGGCCAAAGTGGCACTGCAAAATAGATTGAGGAACTTATCAGAAAAACTGAAAAAGTTAATAACAAATAGAAGAAATGGAAAGTTCAACTTTTGTCTAACATTCGTCTAGAAAATCGACTAGGTAATTTTCACAAAAAATTCTCGAATCGTCTATGAGTTACGGTAAAAAAAAAGACCGTTACGGATGTAACTTAAACTAAGCCTCTTTTCTGACGACTCAATTTTAAGTGTAAATTCGTAGGAAAACGTGAAAGGTATAAAAATAAGTATGTCCGAGGTGATATATTATAAGGTATTCCGTATTCAAGTTGATATTACTATCTTCTTGGATAGGTATTTAAGTTTGCTCTAACTGAACTAATGTTTCAAGATTTAGGTTGTTATTTTTTCGCATCGCAGAAACTGCCACGTTAACGTTTAGACAATGATAAAACAAATTACTCAGCGGGTAACAAGGCTACTTTTCACGAAAAGTACTACCAAAACGTTCCGGCTGAAAACTCAGCCTTCCTCCGTTGGACAGAGCTGTAGAAAATTTTAAAAGAATGTTACTGTTTCATTCAACTGAGCATGGTCGAGTTTTCAGCAGAAACGTTTTTGATAGAAT